GGCAACGACGCGACGGTACCGGTAAGTACCGTCGATGGGTAGTGGTAGGTAATGGCAAGTGGCGACGGATAACGGTAGCGATTACGGCCACGCAGTTTGCGGTCGGTGGTAGTAAAAGGGGATATCGGCCAGAAGGAATCTGATCTTTGGCACGTACCGCGATGTCCCGTTGTCCCTTACATCGATTGCGGGGAAAACGGAACCTGCTCCTTTATGTTTCCGCCTCGCGTGTATCTTCTCTTAGAATAGACTGCGATCCACATCGAATTAGGACCTTGTATTTCACTTTTAAAGTGAATATATGAGAAGTCTTAGATCGAAATTATTACTAAATACATTCACAGTAATTATGGTACACATAAGGATACGTATAGCAATTTATAGCAAGCATACTATGGGTGAGGAGCAATGAAGGATTTACCTTAGGCTTTATAGTGTGGCGTTAGTAGCTGATAGGTTATATCATTACAATTTTTTACCGGGTCTTTTAATTTCATGGAAGATGTGTAAAATACTGGAAAATTATAGTGGTTTAATTTGAGGGATGGACAGGGACGGCTTGGGTGACTAGGAACACCTTGTAAGGTCAGAGACTCCTTGGGTGGCTAGGGACACCTTGTGAGGCAGCTTTGGTCACCTAAGCAAACTTAACTTCACCTACAGTCCTTGATACAATTACAAATTTTCTTTTTTACACATTCGTAAATGATCAAGCTTCCCAATTATTGACATCTCCCAAACTACTTAGGTCTAGCCTTAGTCTCACATTTGTATGCATTCGTTTGCAAACTTCATAGGTGTTTAGATAGACATTTAACTTCCTAGAGTGCGTCAAGAGTGCGTCACGAATAATATGTCAAGAGTGCGTCACGAATAATGTCAAGAGTGTGTCATGAATAATGTCAGGAGTGCGTCGTGAATATGTCAAGAGTGCGTCACGAATGCGTCACGAATAGGTCAAGAGTGCGTCACGAATATATCAAGAGTACGTCATGAGCGCGTCACGAATATGTCAAGAGTGCGTTACGAATATGTCAAGAGTACGTCATGAGCGCGTCACGAATATGTCAAGAGTGTGTCACGAATGCGTCACGAATAGGTCAAGAGTGCGTCAAGAGTGCGTCACGAATAGGTCAAGAGTGCGTCAAGAGTGCGTCACGAATGCGTCTCTACATTTCTGCATCTCTACATCTCATGGCCTGAACATTTCTATGTGCTCAAACTTCTAGGTTTCCAAACTTACACTAGGAATTTGGATGTTCAAGTCCCTAATCCCTCAATATCTACATTACTACCTCCACAAATTCCGAACACGGTCAAAAGGTTCAGATGCTGAAGGGTTCGTAGATATCTCAAGCAGGATATCTCTTGGTTTCCCAAATTCCTATACCCCCAAATCTGAACTCGTCCCAAACAGTTCAGGGGTGGAGAAGTAAAAATCTCGAGGGGTACCTCTAATTTCCCAAATTCCTATGTTGAGGAATATGTCCTATGTCTGAGTTCCTGCGTTCCCAAATTCCTATGTCCCAAAATTCGTATGATCCCCAAATTCCTATGTCCCCAAATTCCTATGTGACCAAATTCCTATGTCCCCAAATTCCTATGTCCCCAAATTCCTATGTTCTCAAATCCCTAATCCCCCAAATTCCTATATTCTCAAATCTATGCACCTCCAAATATCTACGTCCCCAAATCCCTAGACCCCAAATTTCTACACTCCCGAATCTCTCCATTCTTAAATCCCTTCTTCCCCAAATCCCTAGGCCCCCAAATTCCTATGTCCCCAAATTCCTATCTCCTCAAACATGTATGTCCCCAAATTCCTACGTCCCCAAATTCCTAAACCCCCTAAATTCCTATGTTCCCAAATTCCTACGTCCCCAAATTCCTATGGCCCCAAATTCCTACCTCCCCAAATTGCTATCTCCCCTAATTCCCATCTCCCCAAATCCCTACGTCCCCAAGTTCCTACATCCCCAAATTCTGAAAAGTTCATACGCTGAAATGTAAAAATGAGCAGTGTGCCTCCAGGGCATCCCTCTGCAAGATTTGCACCGCCCGTCGAAGATTGGCGGGCTCCTCGAAACGGACCGTTTCCGTTTCTTTTCTCGGCCGAATCGACGTGTATACTCGTCCGCTAAAGCGCATCGTACATACGTTTAGATTTCCGAGTCTCGTTGGGCGCGCGCATATCCCACGGGAATCAATATCCGCGTGTTCCTCTACTTCCTCTCCCTTCTTTCCCTTCTTCACCGTCCTCTTGCCTCGCAACTCGCGCCTCCGCGTCTCCGCGATTCCGCGCCACCGCCGCTCGACGACTTATCAACTTGCTCGCTCGCTGCACCCCCTGCCCCTCTCTGTTTTCTGCCCACCGTTTCTCTTTACGAGGCCCTACGCCCCCCTTTTTATTCCCCCTCGCCTTCCTTTCGACCGCACCTTCTTCTATGCCGCGTCGCACCGTTCGCCATCCATCTCCGATAAACGTGATTTAGAGAAGCGGCTGGCGAGTGTACGAATGTCCACCCTCTCCCACCCTCTCTCTCGACCCCCTCGGGTCTTCGTGTTCCGCGCTGCGTACAACCCCTGTCCCTCGAACCCAGACCTACCCTTCGCGAACATCTCGCGCATCGTCCCTCCATCGCCGACTTTCATCCCTTCCTCGTCCGCGATATTCGCCCCCCACCGAGACACCCCCGGGTAAACCCCGCCACCCACACGTACACTCGCTATTTCTGGCAGCTACCTTTCAGCCGGCACGCGGCTACAAAACATTCAATTTCGACGTACTGTTAAAACGAAATGGATTTTTCAACGCGAGCCTAGTCATCGACGGATGCTCGGGACCCTTCGCGGAATGCAGGTTCATCCACGGTTGCGCAACCGGAGAGGAACACGGGAGGCGGTTTGACCCTTCGGGGTTTACGGAGACTTCGCGTGAAACGCTTTTGGCGGACACTTGTTTAGGGCGCTCTTTGGGCGGTTGAGAGGGAGAGGTTTCGTGAGAGACACGATTGCTAAGGAGATGGGGAGTAAGATTGTGGGGATTTTTAGGGAGTTATTTGGGAATTATTTGAGAGATATGACCTCGGGATTTTGGGGTGTAGGATGTGGTCATCTGAGAATTTGATGACTTAGAAATTTTGAGATTTAAGGACATTATGACTCTGAGATTTGGGGGTTTAGGGATATGTTTTAAGGACTGATGGTCCATTCAGGAGCCGAAGCCTCCCTATGATCAGGTAATTTAGGGACATAGGAACTAGTAGAACTAGGAATTTGGGAATCCAGAAATTTGGAGACGTAGAAAGTTGGGAACTGGGTACTTGGGGACCTTGAGAGGACTCTGAGATTTGAGGACCTAGAAATATTGGAACTTAAGGATTTTGGGGTCTGGAAATTTGTGTATTTAATTCTTTGACTTATAATATCGTGACGCACCCTTGACGTACTCTTGACATATTGGCGACGCACTCATGACGCACTCGTGATGCAATCTTGACGCTCCATTGACATATTCTTGACGTACTCATGACGCACTCTTGACTTATTCGTGACGCATTCGTGACTCACTCTTGACGCATTCGTGACGCACTCTTGACGCACCATTGACATTCTTGAAGCACTCATGACGCACCATTGACATATTCTTGACGCACTCATGACGCACTCTTGACTTATTCGTGACGCACTCTTGACGCACCATTGACATATTCGTGACGCATTCGTGACTCACTTTTGACGCATTCGAGACGCACTCTGACACACTCTGACGCATTCGTGACGCACCCATGACGCACCATTGACATTCTTGACGCACTCATGACGCACTCTTGACTTATTCGTGACGCATTCATGACGCATTCGTGACTCACTCTTGACATATTCTTGACGCGCTCGTGACGCACTCTTGATATATTAGTGACGCACTTATGACGCACTCGTGACGCATTCAAGCCGCACATTAGACTTCAGATGCAATAGATCAAAATTATGTTTGCAATACAATTCTGGAGTGTACTACCAACTATATTTTATATAA